AAAATAAAATTTAAGAGTAGAAAAGAAACAAGTTGCAGGAGTAGCAACCAGCTGCTACAGGGAATCATATACTTCTTCATGTTTAGTATGAAGTAACGCCTGGAAGGACTATATGACTACTGGGAAGACTATACGACTGATTATAAACCGATGTTTACCTAATTTTTTGTTTGCAATCTGTGTTTCAGATCTGTCTGCGTACACGATTCTTTTGCACGCATGATCTTGCTTGTGTGATGTGATTGTTTTACAGGGTGTATCAGTACAGCGGTGACAAAATTTCTGTACGAAGAAAAAGCACTGTACGAACTGCAACACTGTACGAAAAAAACCTCTGTACGAACTGCAACACTGTACGAAAGAAAAACATTTTTAACTCCAGCGCGCGAGACTATCTATCGGAAATTCTAAAGAAAGGGTGTTTTTATATATTTTTAGCCCAAAGGAACATTAGCATTCTCTCGAAACGTTTATATATAAATAAAAAAAAAAAAAAAAATGCCCCTTCGACGTAATATAAAATCTGAAAGCTTTCAGATTAATTTTTTAAAATTATTTTTATGCTTTATGCTAGATTTACTGTTTTTGCTGATTTACTGTTTACTTTATGCTCAATTTACGCAAGAAATGTTGTTCCCAGAACGTGATTTACAAACGATTAGTATAGTAAGACGATAGTCTGAGGGGTGTCAGCCGAAAACATCGCGGAGAAAACATCGCAATGGAAAAATGTCGTGGAAGGAAAAAAATGCGTGACGACATCGCAATTCTACACTATCGTTGTAGAAAGTAATGCGGCTCAAAACTTCGTGATTTTAAAACATCGTGGTAAAAAATATCGTGATGAAAAACGAAGCATCTACAATTCATTGCACGACGATAACACTGCAGAAATACGTTTCTGACTACAAATTTTAAGCGAATTTTCGTCTAGTGATTTTTGAGCGCAAGAAGTTGTATTTTTACAATTACAACTACCATTTACTCTATATTTCGTATTTTTATATCAAATAATAAACGTTTACTTAAAAAAAAAAAAAAAAAAAAAAAAAAAAAAGACAGAAAACTTAAGCATTAATAATCTGGAAAAAATTACAGCTACACGTAGCAGTTAAAAGAATTTTAAACTTATGTTTCTCAAAGTTATTTAATTAACCTCTTTTATTTAGACGAATTAGTAGATTGTTTATAAAAATGCATAATATTAAAAGTATTAGAAAGAGGAAAATACAAAAGTTTAAAAGTTTATCAACTGCTATATGTAGCATAATGTTTTGCTAATTTTCAGTGCTTAAATTTTCTTTTTGCTTTTTCAGTAAAAGTGTATTAGTTAATATAAAAATGTGAAATACAGAAGTAAAAATGTAACCTATTTCTTCATGCGCTCAAAACTCATTACTCGAAAATTCACTTAAAATGTTTTCTGTCATAAAAAGCATATCTGAGATGATTTTGTAAGTTTTTTTATTTCCACTTGCGTTGTTTTCTCAGCGAGTTTTCGTTCGCGATGTTTCCACTTGTAATCGTTTGGGGAACGATGGATGCGGAATAAATAATATTTGTTAGATAAAAATCTGTCATGCGGGAAAACGATCGTTGCGGGAATGACATATCGAGTTTCTACTACATCCAGTTAGTCGACATTACCATAGAGAAACTATTGCTGAATTCTTCTAAATCGACCGGTGGCAAACCACTGCAGTTCCACCACTGCATCTAGGTATGTTGATATGTATTTTTTTTTTTTTTTTTTTATATATTTAAGAGCATAAGGTCGCAATTGATTATAAAGACAACAATAATATTGTTTTCAGAGAGAGATGACTTTTGTTTATTGCAGAGATACGTAACAGTGTTTCCAGGGAGGTATTTGCAAAATGTTACCCAGTCAGTCATGATGTAAGGCCCATTGTTTTAAAACTAAATTTGTTATTTATAAAGTTTCAACAAAATGTTTTTTTGGAATAGCGAATTTACGAACTGTTCTTTTCACAGTTCTATTTGCGTTTGGAGGGATGTCAGATGTTAAAAGGTCTTCCGCACTTAGTGTCTAGCTAAGGGTGATTTATGGTTTGCCACCGGTCGATTTAGAAGAATTCGTTTCGACGCTGGTGAAATCCTCCCAGACCATCACCTCTTAAAACTCTGCATAGGAAAGCGATAATTCTGTGTTGAAACGATCGAAAAAAGTGTTTTTCTTTCGTTCAGTTTGTCCGCAAATTTTGAAGATAGAAAAAGGGGGCAGGAATAAGGGAAGGGAAAAAAAAATACTAACGTCACAGGAGAGAGGGTTACATGAGCGCGTACGTCTCCAGATCAGCAGACGTTTGCTATTTTGAGATTCAACTCAGCTTGAGGTTTTTCGCCGGCTATAAGTAGATTCTCTCTTTGCAACTGTATATACCTCAACAGAAAGTTTCGACTTCTCGCCGTGGACGAAATAAAATAAATATAGTTTATTAGAGTTTTGATGACGCGGTGGCCCTCCCGCTTGAGAATGTTTACTTTTCGCTTCTATATTCGCAACAAGGAAACAAATGCGCGCAGAACGTGAGGCTCGGAACTTCATACAAATAAAAAAAAAATGGAAGAAGTCGGTTTGAAACAACTTGGCCCTTCATTTCAAACCGAATTTACGCAACGTTTCACGCAAACTTTAAACCCTTGTAAATCTCGTTCTGAGCAGATGGAAGAGATACGATGGTTCATATGATAAGTATTTTTTATTGGTTTTTCCTCCTACTTAAAAACATAAATACATAAATGTCAATTAATATAAACAAAAAAGAAGATTGAATGCATTTGCAGAATGTACTAACTGTAGATGTATCTTCCCCAAATATTTTACTTACTAAAAAAAAATGTAATCAAACATTATATATTATTATTATATTATAAACATTATATAACAAGATGAAGATATATATCTTTTATTAAACGATAACTGTCATTGTGATTGTAAGCGTCAACTGTTTCCTACAAAAAATAAATTACGCTGACAGTGGTAAAAATAAACTACTGGGATCATGACTTAGTATAGTACGAAATCAAAGAACACTGGACTTGCATTTTGAAGGATTTGTTTAATGTACACGAATTTTAAATCTACAACAATAAGAAAATCTTCAAGAAATGAAACGTGCTGTATATTTTCAATATTATCATTTTTGATATCTATCTGGTGTGAAAAAAATATTAATAGTGTAATGGGAGCATTGTCACTTCATAATTTTTAAACAATGGAAGTGTCAAATCTTTCGCTCCGAAGACAAATGACATGCAGAATGTTCAGTGGTCCCAGGCAGCATTCAGATCTGTGGTTTTAGACTTATATTGCATGTGGACCGAATGCACAACCTGGAAACAACTGAGGGGTCGAAAATGACTTTAACAAAACGGAAATATTTTTTTAAACAAAAAAAATTTTGTTTAAAAAAGTCGCTAAAAAAAGCCTAAATTAAAAATTTTATTTACTACATACTTTTCAAATTATACATATGAACAATACTGGTAGAAAGGAAAAGCAATCCAGTTTATATTTATTTTCTGTCCGAAATCTAAAGATTGGTATCTGAAAACATTTCTGATGTTTACAATTTTCATTTCATACATACTGATAGCTAAATATTAAATTTTTAGAATGGCATTTATTTTAAATAATTCTAATTTACTTAATAAATCTCTAAATAGCCACTTAAACTAAAAATAAACAAATCACGAAAATTTTCCAAGTGGGACAAAATTTGAGAAGAAAGAATAACGAAATATTTCTCTTCTTTTATTTATTAAACTTTTTTTCGACGCATACATAAAATAAAAATTTTTTTATATAAATAATTGCAAAATATTTTATTTCTTGTAACAACTTTCAGCTACAACACCTGACGGCGTTTCAAGTTTGATAAACGAATTGTTGATGTTCAACGATCATTCTGGTTCTTTTCTTAGACTTATTAATTTTCAACTACGAAAAAAATCTATTAACATATAATCGTTCTTCCAAGCAAAGCGATTATTCTTATTGAAAAATTCCGTAATGAAAGTATTTACTTTTCGTAAAATACGAAATAAAAAAGTAATCAGTCATATTTTGGAATAAAATTTATATCATGGTGCAAATTAATTTGCAGATTTTCTGGGTTATTACACTGGTTCGTTTTTAACGGTAATGAAAATAATATAGAATGGGATTCCAATAAATAAAATCATAAACAAGTAGAGTCAATAGGATTTTTGAAGTAGGAAGCGCGAAAAATGAGCAAAGCCCTCGCTGCGACCTCTCGAATACGCCTCTCGATACGCGTTACACCACGAGGGCATGCAGAAAGGAGCGAAAACACCTTATATACTCTCCCTTTGAAAGGGAGACTGGGGATTAGGGGACCCAGTCGCCAAATCTTGGTAGTGAAGAATCACCGTCCACCAACTCCTAGTACAGATGCCACTGCTAGTCATTAGGATTTTTTGAAGCAGAAGTACTCTAAAAATGGGCCATGCCCTCACCGGGATTCGAACCTGGACCTCTCGAATACCCGCCGAGTTTTCTACCGTTACTTCACGAAGGCATGCAGAAAGGAGGGAGAAATTGCCTTATAAAGCTTTCTCCAAATTTTTTACGTAGTAATTAATGTCATAATACTGCTATTTAATTTAGGGGAAATAGATTCGGGATCTGCGAAAAATAACTTCAAGCGACGCATGTGGCCTGCGTGTGTCCAGTTTGAGATCGTTGCTATATATATCTTAGAACCAACCGTGGGATTAAAACTGAGTATTTATCTTACGAAGAATGTGAGGTGACGGGAAGAAAATGCGTTCAACTCAGAGAAAGAGTTTGACTAATTAAATGTACATAAATTATTGGCTGTGAAAGATTCAAATTTTATTAAAAATATTAGGTTACTAAGAAAGTAATTTCGGTTTGCACAAACAGACACCGTTATATTCGTTTCGTTATTTTTCTGTCAATCTTATATATATATATATTTTTCTCTTTTCAGGTTTGGCAATCGACACTTTATTTTCATAAAGGCAAGAAAGCGGCTGAGGCTCACAAAGTGATATGTGAAGTTAATGGTGCTGATTACTTAACAGAACGAAAGTGTCAGAATTGGTTTAAAAAATTCGTTCTGGACATTTTTCACTTGAAGATGACCAACGTTCTGGCTGAGCTTCTGAGGTAGATGATGACAAAATTATAGCCAGAACTGAATCGAATCGTCTTCTAATTGTGTAAGAGATTGCAAAAAGGGTAATTGAAACACAACACACAACAATTGAAAACCACATAAGATGTCTTTGAACTCGTTAAGAAGCATGATATTTGAGTTCCGCGTGAATTAAAAGAAATTAAATTAACATGACGAATCAATATCTGAGATACGCATTTCAAACGTAATGCAACAGAGAGTTTTCTGAAATGAATTATCACTGGTAATAAAAAGTGGACCGTTTATAACAACATTAATCGAAAACGATTATATTCCAAGCATGATGAGTCAGCATAAATCATATCGAGCTAAACAGCACAGAAAAAGATCGTGCTGTCAATTGTGGGATTAGAAAGGTGCTGTGTATTTTGAGCTGCTTCCAAGCAAGCAAACGATCAACTCAGATGTTTACTGCAAAACAACTTTTAAAATTGGAGGAAGCAATAAAAAAGAAAAGGCCAGAATTGGCAAATCGCAAAGGAATCTTGTTCTATCAATGCGAGGCCTCAAGCATCTTTCAGTAACACGAAATTATTGGAGCTTCGTTAGGAAATGATGTCGCATTCCCCATATACCCCGGCCCTTGCGCTGTTGGGTTATCATTTATATCGAAGTTTACAAAAGAGCAAACCAAACCACAAAAAAGAGCTTCAATTACTTCTCTGGAAGCGATGCATTTACGTAAGCCTAACATTGCGGCCTACGAAAGCACTCACTTCGAACTTACGCTTTTGTCTGAACAATTGTTTAGAATACTTTCCTTGAAGTCTGATTAAAATTAATGGATTATCATTCACGATATTAAATAAAAATGTAGGGGTGTTTATCTTTTTTTTTTTTTTGGAGACTATTAAGAACAAATAATGGTAGACATATAACTTTTCTTACTTGAAATGGCGTTCACGGATACTTAGCCAAAACCCTCTTAACCAACAAGAATACTTAGCCGACAGGACATTTAATTAATAGCACATTTAAAGGACAACATTTAGCCACCACATGTTTAGCTGACAATGGCAATAGGACGTTGACAATGGCTTATGAAATTTAGCCAACATAAAGTCATTTTCTGACTGCACAATGAAGGGAGCATGTTTTTTGACAAGTACGATATTTTTTGTCTGTATTTAGTACTTGAAGAATAATATAAATATGAAATTAGGTAGAAAGTGATCTTAAGTTTCTGAATAAAATTTTAACCGTTTCGGAGACGTTCGTATATAGATCTCCTTTTCTTAGAAGCAAAAGTTTTCTGTGACGGTATAATTGATTTCTGAGAAATCAGTTATTCCTTTCGGCTCTGAAATACCTAATACGGCTACGCTCTTCCCATTAACATAAGTTTAAAAGAGATAGCCTAAAAATTACTAGTTTCAAACCAGCTTTATAATTCAGAGAGAAGAGTTTCTAGTCTGAGAAGAAGTTTGAATCTGAGAAGAGTTTTTAGTGGATCTTGTATATTATAAATACTGATTATGGCTAAATTAAATTATTAAGGAATTCATACTATCCCATCTTAAAAAGACATAAACTATTACATTGAAAGTTAGTTAAACATTAAGCAAAATAATTAAAAACAAATGTTTATAACTTAAATACTTTTTAAGTCTGCGTTTCTATTTTATGCTAATTCAACTTAGTAATCAAGTATTTAAAATTTCAGCATGCCATGTTAAAATCAAATAAGCTGATTTACACTGAAATTCAAATTAACAGAATTTTTACATCTGGTAAATCATCTCCGAAACTGAAGGATAAATGTTAATCAAACTCAGTATGGAGTTAGACTGATAAATGCAAAAACAATAAGCAACAATCATGGTACATATGCATGATTGGGCGTAAGACTCATCGGCGTAGGAGGGTCTGAAACAGTAGCAAGGTCGAACAATAAAAGAGGTAAATATGGGTTGGATTCTCTCTCTTGAAGTCATGCAGGTATCATAACGTTACTTCATGTTAGAAATAATCTGTTTATAAGTTCTTGTTTCCGTCGATCCCACACCTGCAACAACGCTATTTCAAGACCTTGGAAGTCTCTGGAACAATGTAGATATGTTGCAGCTGCTACCTCAGACGCGTGTCAGACGAATTCCGTAAGATCTTAGATCTTTAAATCTAGTTGATCAACCTATCCGGTTAATATCCTTGCTTTCCAGAAAATCATCTACTAGTAGCTCTATGTGGACAACCGTTGCCGTCCATAAAATTTTCTTATTTTCTTCTCTTGATTTAAAGCCCAAGTGAAGGCTTCCCTGTAAGCCCGAGAAGTGGCCATCTGTTATTATTGAGTCAATGAATAAAAGGGTATTTTAACCCTTCTCTGGACTTTGTCGTTATACACGTCAACTCAGCGATCATTCGCTTCACAGCTCGCTCATTAGGTTTGATAAAGGCGATTGTTGTAAGGTGCAGGAAGATATCTTAAGGCCTTTTCTACCTTTTTTTCAGCGGTAAAGTTGGCTCCAAGCTCATTTTTATGGACGACAAGGCTACTTTCCATAATGATAGCCTGGGGAATGATTTTGTGGAAACTCAGATATTAATTGAAGGGACTGACCAACCATATCTGAAGACACAAATACTTTAGAATATGTCTAGAGCATTCTTAAGTGGACAATTGTAACAAGTCTCTTCCTTCCCCAGAAACCTAAGAGACCCGAAAACAGCTTTGCTACAAGAGTAGGATTGATTGCCACAGGAATTTGTAAACTGCACCATTTCCAGTATGAAGTAAATTGTGAGAGTTGTGTGCCTGTTAGAAAGAACCATACCACTTATTATCCTCTTTTTTTTTTTCCTTGAAACCCTTGTTTTAGAACTTTTCTACATAAGATCGTGCTTGTGTATCATGATTCTTGTATGGTATGACTTTTCATAATACCCAATGTATGCCAAATTTAAAAAGAAACTATCCTTAAGTTCTGGAGATAATTAACCAAATGTGAAATTTTGTTTTATTTTGAACTCTAGTGCGTATTTAAAATCAGTTTCCTAAGATAACTGTCAAATCTAATAATTTAGATGGAACCGCGTGGAGGAATCTAATGATATATGTCTGTGATTATGATAAACTTTAGTTTCTAAGCTCAGAACATCAGTAATTAATTGCATATAAACTATTATTTGAGCTGGTAATTAATAGAGTCATAAAATTATGTGCATGTAAACATTGTTTCTGCTACTTATGATATTGTTGCATTTATTAAACGCCTGCTTTTGTATATGTATATGCATTTTGTATATTTTATGCAGAAGTCATTAGGAGTCATTCTGGATCATGTTTCTTCTGTTTAACATATATCGAATAGGATAAATAGAATGAATGTGATGGTTAAAGTTAACCATCACATTTTATTGTTAAGATAACAAACTATAACATTTATTTTCTGAAGGACAAATTATTGTTCCCACTAATTCACACTTCAGTTGTAATTTCTTAGAAGCTACTGAAATTTCCCAGCATAGCAACCTTATGGATCACAACTTTAGTAGTAGCTTCAACATTATACAACTTGATTCTTATCGAAAGCACCCTAAATATGTTCCGAATCCTAGAGCTCGTTTTTTTCCGGTCACACAAACTTTTGTATGTTTACAAGACAATTTCTACGAATATAACAACAGCACTTTGATAACAATGCAGTAATAACACTGCTTTGAACGCTACCGTAACAACAACGCTTTGATGACGTTGGGCTGAGTTCCAAAAAATCTGTTGTCAGCAACAAATTTCGGGATCATTTGTTCCAATTTTTACCTCTAAACATTTTAGCATTAATTAACAGAATTCTTCCTATAATAATGTCATATACGTTACATCCTATAAATTATATGAAGTTACGTAGCTAGGAGTATTTATATACGTTACGTTTATATTTATATACGTTACGTTACATTTATATAACTAGGAAACTTAAATGGTTTGAAAAAAACGTAACGAAAATTGACATTGCTGTGTTCTCACTGCAATTGACATAATATTCCAAATTTAATTAATGACAAAAAAAAGTTAACTTTCTTAAAAGAATAGTAAACCTCAGATTGTGTAACGAATCGAAAAAGAGAATGCGTAAAAACTGCCAAAATGCTAATGTCACTCTTAGCCGCAGAAATAATAACTTAAGTTGTAGAGACATTTGGAAGCAGGAAAGATGAAAAATGAGCAAACGCTTTTGCCGGGAATCGAACCGCGGACCTCTGGAATACACGCCCAGAGTGCAGTCCACCACACCACGAAAGCATGCTAGGAAGGCGGGAGAAACACCTTATATACTCCCCCTTTTAAAGGGCAATTGCGGTTTTAGGCGATCCAATCGCCAAATCCTGGGTGTGGAGAATCATCATCCAACACCCTTTTAGTTCGGGCGCCACTGTAGAGACATTAGGTGATTTGGAAGCAGGAAAGATGAAAAATGAGCAAATGCCTTCGCCGGTAGTCGAACCGCGGACCTCTGCGTTGTGTAATGCTTTGCTGCGCCCAGCGTGCAGACCACTACACCACGAAGGTATGCTAGGAAGGCGGGAGAAATACATTTTAAAGTAACAATAACTAATAACTTAATTAAATAATAACTAAAGTAGGCAATTGATGCCTTAGAGGTCAATCATCTCGTATCTTAAAATAACACCAGAAGAGTTCTCAGAATGCAAATCATAAAATTAGATCATAATAATAAGGCTTATAACATTTTAGTAGATGTATTATTGGAATCTTAAAATTCACAATTTGAAATATATAAAAATAACAACTTAGTGTTTCCCAAAATAAAAGCCTGAAACTTAGGATTCCATTTAAATTGCTTTACAAACCATTGCCATCCACAGCTTCATAACAAAGATTAATTAAACTACACACTTAGATATTTTCCAGTGTTTTCAAAAACCGAGTTTGTATTTTTGAGTGTTAACAGTTCGCATAACCTTTGTCAATAAACATACCAGAAGAGCTAAAAAAAATTAATAAAAAATTCGGTACCTTTTCTTACAACCCCAAGCAGTAACAATTTTGCAGGTGAAAATATCTGCAGCAAATCTGGATATCTTCATCAATTTGCATCCCCAAATTAAATGTTACAACGAATATAAAAAAATCTGATGTGTATACTACATGACTTCCTCGTACGGAATATTAAATTATACGCAATTTTTCTGCATTTCATTTAAACATATTGAATTAACAGTTAACGAGTTTTGAATTAAATCTACTTCGTCGACAGCGCATAAACCACAATAGAATAAATGCACTCTTTAAGTTCACTATATTTATTTACCATAGCAACACTTTGGCTCTAGGTTCACTTAACAGCTCTAAATCTCAATTATTTTATAACTCATAGTGCATAAAAATTATATCATCTGAAGAATTACCGTATGTTCTATTCAAATACTATAATAAATCTAAAATGACATATAAAAGAAATTAAACAAATAAAAAAAGAAACAGTTTTTCACAGACGATTCAGCACCGCTTACCGAATGCGCATGCGCTACAAATTAATTCAGTTCTCACTTCGCGGCAAGGCCAAAAATACATAAAAATTTAAAATATTTTCCTTAAAAATTGAAAGGTATAGAAAAACATAAAACATCAATTAACGTTAAAACTATTAAAAAAATTTTTACAATTGAAATTACAGTTTCTAGAAGAAAACAAGCAATTCTGCCAGCGGGCAAGATGGCAGATTTTTCAGTGCAAAATACTGAAAGTTTACTTTTGGTCTCACCCGGCAAAAACACGCCGAAGGCCTAGAAATTGCCTTAAATTGTTGTGGACGCTATGCTAAGTCAATACGTGGGATAATTTAGTAACTTAAATGATAACTCCAAAATGAATTAAACATAATTTGATTCGCAATAATAAAAGAAGACGTTTCTTTTTTGTTGAGAAGCTTAGTTTCTCTAGACTGGCAAAAAATAAACTATTCTGCTAAGTTTCAAATGCAAACAAATACGGCTGCTATGTAAACAAATTAGGCTTAGCCGCACTTAAACAATTTTGAAATTGTTGATAATTCTACATCTATAACATGCAAGTTAACTAAAATCATAAAACCCTTAACCGGAAGATAAGAACAACATAATTCAATCATTCTTAAAGCAGAA